GTTCCCATAATATATCGATATATTTATCTCGAGAAATATGTGAGTAGAGGAAGCTGATTATTAACTTCTGGTTTAAAAGTCTATTTCAGTTAGTCAACTAAATTAAGTTACATAATTCTGGTTTGAGCTATAAAATCTAATTTAGCTATAAAATTCCTTTCTTCCTTTTTTTAACTTAAAATATTGCTCATTATTCAATGTTACACATTAAACATAAATGCACATAATTTTCAAATCCTTCTCTTAGGGAAGAGGTGATGTTCACTTTTCGAACATTACCTAGCAGCTCTATTTCACCTTTAGACAGCGCATACAGCCGCGATTCAGTAGCGTAACATCTTTGTATCGGACCACTAACTTACTAATAAATTAATTAAATAATCTGTTAATTTACGTAATGGCTTATGTTAAGTATGCATTAGTATTGAACCGTGTATTCATCAGAGTTTTTGAATTTATTATTATTATTGTTATTATTATGTTATAATTTGCAACTGCGCTGTCTAGTCCATTAGCGGCATACCAGATACAACTATAAGGTATTTCTCCCGCCTTCTTAGCATGCCTTCGTGGTGTAGTGGTCAGCAAACTCGGCGCGTATTCCAGAAGTCGGTGGATCGAGTCCCGGCGAAGTCATTGCTCACTTCTTCATTTCTCATGGTTTCAAAAAATACCTAATGTCTCTACACAACAAGATACCTGAAAGGGATGAATTCTGACATGTCTGATGTTGAAACAAAATTTATCAGCTGTATTTCCTGTTTGTTGTTCCTGTTTTTGAATTGTTCTGTATAATGGCACTGTTCATATAAATTTGGAAATATGTATTTAAGTATCTTTTACTTCATATGCGGTTGTTATTTCTTATTTTTTGCATTTCTATTTATTTGAATGCGTTGATTCAAAAGCGAAATGCATAGCCCTTGTGTGTTTTGCCGCATTTTAACAAACGACACAAAAGCAGACTTAAATTATTTTCAGTTTCAATATCATAGCCAATACAAAAATTAGAAAACTACTAATTAGAAAAACTTTCACTGTTTTCGTAGCTTTTTAATACAAAGATGTAAGCAAAGATTTAATTTAAGGCATTACTTTATTGAAAGATTTCTTTTTAGAGAAAAGGATGCAATTTACGTGCAGAAAACGCCCACAATATATCGGTATCTATCTATCTATCTATCTATCTCTCTCTATATATATATATTAAAAAATAATAAGTGCTTTCAAATGTGCTAGCTGTATTAAGAGTTAGTTTTTCCTACTGATTGTGTCTATGGCAAATGTAGAACATCTTTTGAGATAATTTAATTTATTAAACCTTAACAACTGATTAATTTAATTGATCAGCTATTAGTGTATTAATTGTGCAAAAAATTTCTTTTCCATTGCTTATCCTTACAATAAATATCGAACATTCTTTTAATAATTTAAGTTTAATTGAAATTTTTTCGTGCATTTAAATACGTTCACTTTTATTTTTAAATTTTTTAATATTGCTTTATTCTTTGTATTTATTATCATTCTCCTCCCCCATCCCTGGACAAAAGAGTTCCCATTTTTGTTGTTGAGAAATCATTCAGAACATTTAAAGCATTCCTTTAGCGGTGCCACTTTATGAAGAAGAATAAGATTTGAGTGGCTGATTGAGCATTGAAAAGCAAAAGTTTACCTAACGTGGAATTCAAAATTCCATTATTTTATAATGATAAAATACGATAAGACAGTGATGCACCGATAAGACAACATTACTCTGTTTCATAAGACAGCATCACTATTCAGACTCTGGTAAAATTAACGAAAAGTTGCTTCGGAAAAACTCTAACATCATTTCTTCGCAGCGAAGAAATTTTAACAGATACAGGTCTTTTAGAATAGTTACACATCTTGACATGTTCAGGCGATTTGTGAAACATGAGCTGAAGCGATTTTCCACTGGAGAAGTCTTAGGAATATCATTTACCTTTGTAATCTGGGTTGTAATCTTAAACTTGTCTCTTAGCCCTTGAATTATTCTGCGGCCTTTGAATGTTTCTTTACTCATAGTTTCATTCATATCGAAAAGTCTTATGAAATTTCGAAATTTCAAGTTCTCTATTTTACTTGAAACCGAGTTGAATATCAGTATTTAGAAGCATGCATGAACAGAAGTTCCCAAGTGTTTTCAGTACTGCTTTGAAATCTTTAATTTTAAAAATATTAACTTCCATTCTTTTAAAAGGTGAAGCGTTTAGATGAGAACGTATTTTATTGCTGCTACGAGATTTAGAAAAATAAAATAGTCAAACGTTTTTCCAATAAGAAATAATTTTTTCAAGAATAATATTCAATTTCTGTTAAAGAATTCACTGTTTTTTCTTTTCTAATTTTTTTTAAAAACGACAATGTGGACAAAGGTGTAAAGAAGAAAGACATTGCCATCAAATTCGGTATGTAACAAAATAGTTTATCGAAAATCCTGAAAAATTAGGAGAAAATTTCGTCAAGCTTTGATTCCACTGATCCAGGTGCCAAATGTAAGAAAAAGGTGAGTTTATGAAGATTTTGATGAAGCAACGTTAAAAGGGTAGCTCACAGAGAGAGAAAATGTACAAGTATCAGGCTATTGATACTGGAAAAACCTACAGAGTTTTCCAAAGCTTTAAGACAAAGTGAACCTCATGCAAGCAATGGGTGGCTGGAGAAATTCAAAAAAACTGCATGGATTAGTTGCAATAATCCTATGTGGCGAAAGCAAAGATGTTAATAAGATTACTCTGTCATATGGAAAGATCGAAAACTAAAACAGGCGGAAAATCAGGCGGAACAATATCTTAAGCACCGACGAAACTAGCTGATTTTATCGATGTTCAGAGAACATGCAAAATGCTTTGGAAGAAAGCATAGCAAAGTTAGAGTTCCTGTATTGTTATGTGCAAATTGGCAGCAAATGAAAAATTGAAACCTTTACTTATGGGAAAGAGTAAACATCCAAGGTGGTTTACAGGTATTAATTCATTAGATGTGGAATATGATTTCAACAAAAATTCATGGATTACTTCGATATTTTTTTAAAGTGGCTAAAACATTTAGATAAATACATGGCTGTACAGAAACGAAAGATTGCTGTAACGATAGGCAGTTGCAGTGCTCACCGTCAAGATATCAAAGGCAAGTGTAAAAATGCCAAGTTCTTTTTTCTTTTCCCCAAATACCACTAGGAAACTACAGCTTATGGATTAAGGAACGACAAAAGGTGTTAAGTCTCATTATTGCAAAAGAATTTTGATGAAGGTCTTAATAGAAATTGAAAGTAGTAATCAGCCTTTATATTTATGAATTTTATAAATCAATTAATCAGTCTTTATATTTCTGAATATATATTTATGAAAGTACTAAGTTTATGTGACTGCGTATGTAAACTTGCAAAAGTATGGAATTATGATGTCATTAAAAGAACCTCGTAGTTGCTTCAAAAAGGCTGACTCGTGCTTAAGGCTCTTGCCAAACAGCAGGCACAATCCTGCACCCCTTGCCACGATGAATTTCGTGGGCTCATTCTAATGTTGCTGTCAGACAAGTGAGGTAAGTCACAACAACAACAACATATTTCATGTCGAAATAAGTCTCACATTTTTGTAATGCACGGAAAAATTCTTCTGATACCCTTTCATAGTCTGTGAGATTTTTCCCGGGCGGTGCGTCTCTCTCTCTCTCTGAGGGGCAGAGCGGAGGTTGAACCTCCGCACCTGGTTCTGAGGAGTGGGGGGACTTGTACTGCGATTAAGTTAGAGGAGCAAGGAAGTCCTAAATTTCTTGTTGATACCCTTTCATCCAAATGAAGACTGTAGCTTAAAGTATCAAACGCATTTAACATATCTTTTGGAGTAAATTTGTACGTTTTTTTTTTCAGTAACATTTTTGTCGTGTATCCTTTAGTGGGTAATTATTTCACAAGATTCTTTTAAACTACATGCTACTTTTATTATATATACAAAATATATCATCACTCGCATACACACTTATATATACAGCTACTTTTCTAATTACAGCTACTCGCATTCCAGTCATTTCCTTACTACTGCGCGCACTTTGATGCTTGCCGTCGTGCCAACTTTAAGTCCGATTATGATATACTACATCGATAGTTCTCGATATATCGCATCCCTCCCTCTTTATCAAAACTGCAGTTTATCTGGGAGACGTCGAATTCTACTGGACCGACGCAAAGGTTGTGGCACTGCTGGGTTCTTTTGTAACCTGGTTGTATCAGCAACAGGTCCGGTGGATGGAACCTGGTATAACCTTGGGCTCGGAGAACGACACAGACTCATCTGCCTGGTGGCTATTATCTTTGGATGGTTCTGGAACTCCACTCTTATCAGGCTCTTTGGAAATCACGAGAGCTGGAGGTGGACGTATGAGCCCCTCATCTGTTACTGTTCCTCCATCACGCATCTCATCGACATGTCGTCGCCATAGCTGACCACCTACATTTATTTTGTAATGAAGCTGCTCATCCTTGAATTTGACTGTTCCAAATCTTCATCGTCTATCACCTTGGCGATAATTTCTTACTGCCACTCTATCTCCTGCTCTAAATCCTTGGTCTGCAAACTCGTAGGTTTCTTTTCGAATTCTGTCTTCCACCCTCCTTTTGAGATCTGGTCTCAATAAATCTATTCTTGTTCGAATTTCCCTCTTCAGCATTAGTATTGCAGGGCTCTGTAGCGTAGTTAAAATTCGGAGCTTTCCTATATTGCATCAAAAATGTACTGAGTTTTTGCCTCAAAGCTCCTGGATAATTTTGCATTGTTCTTAAAGATTGTTTTACTGTAAACACATACTGTTCAGCCTGCCCATTACTAGATGGTTTAAATGGTGCTATAGTTTTGTGTTTGACTCCGTTACTCTAGAAATGTCTTAATCTCGTGTGAAGTGAACTGTGGCCCGGTATCACTCACTAAGACTATTGGTAATCCGAATCGTGCAAAAAAAGTCCCGTAAACATTCTATTGTTTCTATTCTAAAGTCGAGCTTGATTTCATCGGATAGGCTTCTAGACATTTTGAGTGATCATCGACGGTTATCAAAAACATATGCTCAAAAATAGGTCCTGCATAATCGATGTGAATACGTTCCATTGGAGCGTTCGGGTACTCCCAATGATGAACTTTTACCTTAGGAGGATCTATTTTATGTTTTGCATATTCAGAACAGTTTTTGGAAGTATTTTCGATATCTTTATCTATACCATTCCAAAATACGTAAGATCTAGCAATTGCTTTCATCTTTACAGCCCCTAAATGCCCATGGTGTAACTCTTTCAAAACATTATCACGGTATCGTTTTCGAATACAAACGCGTTGGCCATACATTATACAGCCATCTTGGAGACTGTACTCCATCTCCCTTCCTTTCAATTCACCGCCGCTTTGAAGCATTCGTAGCAGAGGACTAAGTTCTGCATCCATTTCAGTTTCTTTAGCCAAATCTCTGGTCGTAATTGGAAGAGTTTCAATTTGCTGTAATTGAAAAATTGTTACATCATCTTGAATAGACAGCTGCTCTGAATTCGTGGGTAATCGTGATAGAAAGTCAGCATTACCATGCTCGTTTGTACGGTAAATAATATCGAATTGAAATGACTGTATAGCCGAAACGTAAAGTAGGAGTCTTGTTGCTGCCAAAACTGGCATGCCTTTCTTTGAGCCGAAAATTGCAACAAGAGGTTTATGATCTGTAATTAATGTAAATTTTCTGCCTTTTAAGTGAAGAAAAAAATTTTTTATTCCCCAAATGATTGATAAAGCTTCTTTATTGGTTTGAGAATATTTTTCTCCGTTTCATTCAATGTTCTTGAAGCATATGCAATTGGCCTTTCTGCTCCATCAGGAAGTTTGTGAGAGAGTACCGCACCTAACCCCACTGGTGATGCATCAGTTGCCAACCTTAAGGGCAATTTTGGATCATAATGCATCAGAACTTTTTGTGAACACAATTATTTTATTCAAAGTTTAGAAAAGCCTCCTGACAATCCTTCGTCCAAACCCATTTTTAGTTTTTTCTTAGTTAGTTGATATAAGGGATTTGTGATTGTCGATAATTTAGAGCAAAATTTTCCATAAAAATTAACCAATCCCAAAAAGCTTTGAATTTCCTGGACATTTCTGGTCTTGGGCCTTTTTCAATCGCTGATATTTTTTCATAAGTCTTATGTAAACCATTAGCATCAATTTTATGACCTAAAAATTATATCTCTTCCTGAAAAAATTTACTTTTCTCTAAATTTAATTTCAGTCCATGAGTTTTACATTTCTCGAAGAAATTTTTTTAAGTATTTAAATGTGTGTCATCATCCGCCCCTGTTATCCGCGCATAATCCATGAAAACCTTACACCCTTCTGTTCCGTGGAATAGTCCGTCTACGTAACGTTGCCAGATTGCCGGCGATGCATTTAGCCCGAACATTAATCTCTTACACTTATATAATCCCTTCTGTGTGTTTATTGTTAGCAATTTTTGAGTCTCAGAGTGTACTTTCATTTGTAAATAAGCATGTTTAAAATCAATTTTTGAAAAATGCCTTCTCCCGCTCAAACATGAAAATATTTCCTCTATAGTCACTCGGTAAAGGGTGTTTATGCTTAACAATATTTGGGTTTACTGTCATCGAGTAGTCAGCACACAGTCGTATAGAAACGTCTGGCTTAATTACTGGTACTCCCGGAGTAGGCCATTCTGACGTTTCAACCTTTTCGAATATACCCTATTTTTCCGAGCGATCAATTCCTTCATCTATCCGGCCTTTTAACGCAAATGCACTTGCCTAGCTCTACAAAATTTTGGTGAAACACTTGGTTCCAATTCAAGTTGAACCTCATAATTTTTTATCTCTCCTAATTTTCCGTAAAAAATCTCTTTATATTGTTCCAATAATGTATTTAAACTACTCTTTGAGAGACAGAAATTGACTTTATTGAGGACCAATCAAAATTTATTTCTGAAAGCCATTCTAGACCAAATATTGTATCAAAGTTTTCTTTAACAATGTATAGATTTAAGTTTTTATTTTGACCTACCTTAACTGTAGTAAATCCTAAAGGTATCAGTTTTTCTCCATTATATGTTTTAAATATCAGACTCGTATTTTTAATTTTGTTTTTCGAAATTTGCCTCCTCGATATACCACAATTTTAATCTTCTTTATCATCATAAATCGCTTTCTGGCTGCTATTTTTTACGCTCTCCAATATTTCCTCTTTAGTAGGCATTTCTGAGGTCAGTTTCATCATCGTTCTGTAAATCAGTAATCCCGTAATTGTACCTTATTCTTTAATTGTCCTCAGTTTCTCAATTGTAGGCAGATAGTATTCAGTTCCTCATCTTGCCCGTCGTCGTCATTGACACTAGTGTTATCAGTGGTCACTATTATTATCAGACAATCAAAACTAACTAAAGTAACTAATTATTTTTCGAAATGATTAGGGGATTATTCAATTAGGGCAAAGCACACGAGGGCTATCTGCCTAAAGGGAGGAATGCCTTCGTGGAGGGCTTTCTAAGGGAAACTGGCTCGTATACACGTTACACATGGGAAAAACCACGAAAACGCCCATGCAGCCAGTCCGTTCGCGAGATTCGAACCTCGGACCGAACTACCAGTGTTCAGCGTCTTTACCGCTCCGCCGTTTTCGAAATGAATTTATGTAATTTTTATACATAACTTCGAATGGAATGGGTATATTAACGTATGTAATTTGTATTTATATTTCTTTTCACTACTGTTTTACATTTAAAATGTTTAAAATCTCTCATCTTATCTCGTGTGTTATCATAACATCCATTCTGCGAATTCCTCTTTTTAGAGAAGTTTTTCGCTGGATTCTGCAACTTCGTTAATTAGATGTGAATTGTAATGTAGAGGCAAAATATCAGTTACTGGGTAATACAATATTCAGTTCTGCGCATAAAGTTCGCATCCTGTATGGGTGGATACACATACTGTATGGCTCAGGTCCGTCTATTTTAGAATTGATTTTCTTAAAGAAATATAAATTTCGCTTAGATGTTAAAAATAACTTACTTCTCATTTCTGTGTATGGCAACAAGTAACCACAGCTATTTGTCATCGAATAATAGCACACAAAGAAATTATTATTCCTTCTCAAATCCAGACGGAAGCTGATTGTATAGAAGTTTTCGTGTAACGTGAACGTGTAACGTTTACGTTTCGTGTAACTTTTACGTTACACGAAAACTTCAAATGTAACGTGATTAACAGTCATTTTCCTTAAGAAAATCTTACTTTAAAGCGTCTTTAGTGTTAGGCAGATATTTTACGGTAGTTAATCAAATAATTCAGTCCCTCTTCGACAGCGCTGGGGGAAGAAGAGCCTCAGTAAAACGTGAAGAATTTTTCTATGGAAAATAGAATTGAAAAAACTATTACTTAACTTTTGCGCTAGTGAATTTATAAGGAATCTTCTCCTTCTTCATCGCGTGCCTTCATGTGTAACTGGAAGCACGCCCGGCTGCCAGATGGATGAGTTTGAATCTCAGCGAGGATATCGCTGATTTTTCATGTTTCTCATTCCAAAAATTTTTCAGCTTCCTACATTGATGTCCCGACCATTATATATTAAGAGGCAGTCCCGACCATTATATATTCAAATGTCCCCTTACAGCTGAAAATCATCTAAAAGTTCTGAATTCAGAGAGTGAAGTGACTCCCTTTATTAAATACGCTATCAAGAACATCCATCTCCGAAAAAAAGTCATAATTATAATGAACTTCCTGTCCACAAGAGGCACTGAGCTATGCAGCACATCCTAGAATAATATAACAAAGCTATTACTTAAAACATAGTATGCAAGCAGACCTGGAGCTGCCTTCCATAGCATGTAAGTGTGTAAGGCACCAACTGTAAAAACAGCAGTGTATATTTAAGGGAAAAAGAAAGGCACTGCCCGTGGTCTGGTAAAATACAAAGCATTGCAAGCAACGCCTGGCAAAATCCCCTGTAAGTCTTGTGGAGTGTGATTTATCTGGATATATAGTGTGGCTGGACAATACCCACATTGCCAATGGTTAAACAATGGGTGTTCACCACATTTCTCCATATCCATATCCATACATTGATGTCCAACTGAAATGTGTAGTGGGCGATAATTCACCGCCACCTAAATTTAGCGACAGGGTTCCCCTCCTATTCAGTCGTTCTAAAAGGAGAGAACTATAAAAATGTCCTCCTTCCTCAACACATGCCTTCATTTTGTAATTGGAAGCACGCCCGGTTAGCAGTCATAAAGTCCGGAGTCCAAATCCCGATGAAGCATCACTTATTTTTACTATTTCCTGCTTCGGAAAGCATAATTGACTACAAATTCATTAAAGGAAAATTTTCCAGCAAGTATTGCTAAGATAAGTAACAGGATACTTTCTTTGAGAAAAGGAGACGAAATTGCCTTGAGCTCTTCTGTTATAAGTGTTCATTAAATTTTGGGAAAATAATTACCAATGTCTAAGCGATTTAAGAGATTTATTTAGCAAAGAAATTTAAAGACCTTTTTTTTTTTTTTTTTTTTTTTTTTTTTTTTTTTTTTTCCAAAAAGATGTTAGTCAAGAAAATGATCCAGCACCAGACCAATGAGATAAACCATCAGCCTCTTAAACAATATCCTCTGTGTCTTTGTTTCCCTAAACGAGTTAATACATGGAAGCTTGTAAAGGAAATGCAGGGTAATAATTTCAGAGAACTCTCTTCTAATCCTTGAGCATCACTGAACATATTAGTTATATGACGTTAAATACAGAGAGAGTTATACTTTACCCCGAATTAATGATACCTTAAATACGATAGCAAGAGAAATAGTTTCACTCTCTGGATTTGAAGAGCTGAAATACATGCCATGAAAATTTTGTATTTATTACAGCAAAGGATTTTGACAGTTTAAAAGAACGTCCTTCGAGCAGCGCAACTTTCCAGCAATATTTAAGTGTTTAATGAAGACAGTTTTCAAAGGACTCTCATATAAAGCTTCTCACGGGCATCTCAAGGACATTAAAATATCCAGACGCATTTTTGAGGAACCTATGGGAAATCTCAGTAAAGTACCACAGAAGCTTAAGGAAACGAATTTAAAGTTGAATCGTGCAAAATCTGGGCTATTGCAACAAGAATTTAGCTTCTTTAATCATATCATTCCGAAGAAAGATCCACGAGATGTTCAAAATGAAGTCTGAGAAAATCAAAACTGTCCGTAGGATTTGTAGTCCGTGGAACACGGATTTGTTTTTGACAAATTTTTGTCACAAAATATGCAACGCCATAGTTCAGGCTCGAACCCAGGACCTTTGGATCACTGCATCGATGAGCTTTCTATTCCACACTAGAACAGAAGAAAAGTTCTAGTAACTTTAGCAAACAAAAAGAAACTATATTAATTTTAACATTTTTAATAAAATTAGTTTCAATAAAAAATATTACTCTGAAAATCGTGAGAAGCTGTGTACAAATAAAAAGCAAATGGAAATACGCTGAGCGAAAGTCGTGTTAAGATCTGTAAATGTAAAGTTCATCTCAAATACTTACTAATCGTTCTGACACATTATCCGCGCTTTCTCTTTCTTTCGGAAAGCTACTTGACCTTTACAGGCAAGCTGTTTGCCTTGTGTAACATTTTATTGCTTAGTGGC